CCCCTGTCGACAGGCGCATCGCGTTTCTAATGTATGTAAAAGCTGAACTGTAAATATCCCTATTCGAATCATTTCCCAACTTTTTTGAATTTTTTAACCATGTTTTTGACAGTAAGGTCTACCCAGTTTGTAATTATTGTAATTGTAAAATGTATTTTTTTTCTCTTGCTAATGTGGATACTCTCGAAATAATCCCCTAATTGTGCGCTGTGAAAAAGGTTTTGCTCGATGTATTAGAAATCATTGAAAGCTCGTAGGATTTTAAAGGAAGTAGTGCAGTCCATTTTGAAACGTCTATATCTCCCTTCTCCTGATATACCTGTCAGTTTTTTTTTGTAACTAGTGTGCTCTAAATTGGATCTTTGATTTCCTCCGTCAGAATGTGTCATCTCCCCCTCTCTTTCTGTCGTCCGCCCTTCGTCCGTCTCTACCCCCTCCCTCTTTTCAAATCATCCTGATGGGCGAAAAAAATCGGAACACCAGATCTCTTCACTTTGAGTGATTAAGTGATGCTAAGCAAGTGTAGGAAATAACGTGGACTATGGCTCACCGCTTTAAATGATGGAAAAAGGTGTGACAAAAACTCGCAAATTTTAAACTCTAACTCCTTTTCTTTTTGGTTTTATAGAAACTTTTGGGGGGCTACGCGACGCAACTTCCAGCGGGCGCTGAGCTTTCTCCACACCAGTGGCGTGGTGTGCTTTGCGATGTATCGATTGTTATGTTATTTAAAACTATACCTAGAAAAGGATCGATAGACATTGTGTTCGCAGCGAACACTTTAATAATCGATTCTGTACCATAGTTTTAAATGACATAACAATCGATACATCGCAATTCACGCCACGCCACTGCTCCACACCTGCCTCGCGAGACCCCGTGACTCAATCTAGAAAGCGGACTCTTGTTGTTGTTGGACTCTTGACGTCTAGTCTTCGTACTATCCCTTGTTAATGGCCGCGAAAAAATCATAAACGTCGGCCGTGTCGATCTTAATGACGAACTGTGACAAAAAATGAACACTAACAATGTTTAAATGGGAGAGCTCACAACTTTTCTCACGTGAGATAACGAAAAAAACCTGAGATATGCTTCCAAATTCTGAATAGAATAGGCTCATCTAGGGACTATAATTTGTTGTTAGCCGCAAAATGGAACTCTGCGTAGAGAATTGTCAATTGCAGAGCAGATTCCTCTAGTTAGGTTAAACTGCCGCCAAATTTTTTAAGTTTGAAGATTTTCTTTTACTACTTTAATTATGTTTATTCTAAATAGTAGGATATCTAATCCTAGTTTTTAACAGAAATTTAAATTTTTATTGATAAGATTTCTTTAAATTTTAAAAATTTTGGTGGAACGAACTTCGTCAAAAAATGAAAAATAGGGGGGGGGAGGGGTGTAATGGTATTTCGGTTGACTTCTGTATGCAATCATCAGCAAGCATGGCTGCTTGGTGCGACTTAAATTGTTCCTACTTTTCCCAAATAATTGTAGCGCGTCGTTATCAGTCCTTTCGGACACTCGTCGTTGTTTGTTTTTCCAGTGGTTTCGGGCGCGGTAGATGCCTCCGGCGCTTTTGTCGAGATTTAGGGTTGTCACGTTGTGTATTATATTATAATTATACTTTTTTCTCAAATCATTTCCAACGAAAAATTATTGACACCTCGAAAATCAACTATTTAACCAGATTTTTGTTCATCTTGAAAAAGTAGATTTCTTCCATAGCATACACACCCCTCGTGTTAGATTACCAGAGGCGGATCCAACAATTTGGCAACACCGGATTTCCTCCATTTAAACGTTTGCTAAATAATCGATTCTTGTCAGAGCACCTGACCCATTCAAGATTCGATACATTTCCATACGTTTAAATGGAGGAAATCTGGTGTTGCCAAATTGCTAGATCCGCCAATGTAAGTTACATACCATGTAAGTTTTGGGTTAAAATCAACTTAATGCTTTTTTTGCCCAATACTGCTCAGCCATGCCGATTTTTCTATTTCTATCGTCTGGATATTTCTTCAAAGACCGCAAAAAATGCGGTTTCACAAAAAAACCCAACACACAAAATGCACAAAATGAATGATCGTGGATGTTGAAATCAGCACATGTGGAGTTTTTTAATTTGAGTCGGATTATAACTTATGTTCGTTTCTTATTTTCATGACATCCTAAAAGGAAAAATACCATTTTCACTTCAGTAATGACCTTGGGTTGGGTCCTGCGCTTTTTGTTCTGAAGTATACCTTTAAAGATCGTTAAAAGGAGGACTAAAGTGGCATTAATGGACATTCTTATTTAGATTGTGACGAGAGCTACTCGGGAGAAGCGAAACAAAGTTTAACATCGAGAGGTAGTGAATACCGACGAAGTGTGTCAAAGATAGAAAAATAAATAGAAAAATCAAAAAGAGCCAAGCACTGTTGGGGAAAACACAAAAAATGAATGTGAGGAAAGAAACCAACGGGAGTGGTCCAAATGCAACTGAAAGAATCGGCATCTATTACCGTTGATGTTAAACGTGTCGATAGTTATTTTCTGTTTGACTTAATTGAGAAAAATGTGATAAAAAACACAACGTGACAACCGTGAATCTCAATGAAGACCATAGCACCTTGACACCCACTCGGACTTTTACTGCCCGAAATCACTGAGGAACCAAACTGATAATGAAGCGCTATGCACATTTATTTATGAAATTAGAAGAATACCAGTCACCAGCGAGTGAGTTGAGAGCTTGGTGCGCCCAAGGAATTGAGTTATAAAAGTTGCGCGACTTTTAGTCATGACTACCGAATTTCCTAGCTTCTATCGATCCTCTTTTAATATTAAGTGAATCAGCTCCTGCGAAAAAGTCCGATGTCCAATACAGTGTTATAGAATCTGAGTGGACGATTTCGTTGTAACTTACAGACACAAGATGGTTCAAGACGTTAGTACTGTAAAACAATCTTACAACAAAACCCCTATAAGCATAATTAACGTTTATTAAAGAGTTCGATCTTCTTCATCAATGTCGTGGAGCAAACGAAACCTCTGCTGAAAGAAATCTGGTTTTGGTCAACGGACGTATTCGCGCGAGCCGATTCAATTTGAAAAAATATTTTCGGTTTGAAGCACCTAAATCTAAAGGCTTTAGAACTTTACCCGAGTAAAATTAAATACAGAGGGAGTCGCCATGTTTCAAACTAAGTCCCTCCCTCACCGCTATAACCATGTGTTTCTTCCCCTCTTGTAAATGTCTGAGTCAAAATGTAATCTTTCCGATGATGGGAAAGATGCTATCTCAACATCTGAATGCTTTTAGAGCTGAACCATCGATATCTATATCGAGAAAAGTGGAAAATTGGGGAGGGGGAGGGGGGCAGAAGTTGAAGTCCACGACCCCCCTCCCCAATTTTCAAATCGGTGCGTACGAGTCAACGCAGACAGCCCCCCCCTCCCACCCCTTGTAACCCAACCGTCAGATACCCCCACCCCCTCCCTCCATTTTTACATAGTATTTTATTTAGGAATGTAACCTGTTCCTTCCAGTGGCGTGTCCAGGTTTGCGATATATCGATTGTCATGCCGTTTGAACCTATGTAAAAGGATCGAAAATCAGGGTGTTCGCAGCGAACACCTTAATAATCGATTCTTTACCCTAGGTTTAAATTGCAGAACAATCGATATATCGCAAAGCACGCCACGCCACTGGTTCCTTCCCCATGGAAGACGTTTCTCTTTTCTGCCGTGCTAAGGAAGAACGCCGTATGAACCTTTAGACGTTGCCACATTTCCTTCAATAAAAACCTAATTTACTGTGAAAATTGGGAATGTTTTCCTTCAATTTTTTCAGACAATTTTGTTCGCAATTTTGTTTAAAATTTCTGAAAATGTCAAGGAAAAATACATATAATCTTTCTCAAAAATACATGTTTTATCCGGGGCAATTTGGCAACTCGTGAATGTTTATACGGCGTTCTTCCTTAGCACGGCAGTTTTGGGGGTGGTGTCAAGGTCTGGATCAAAGCGATGGTGGTGCTTGTCAATGTGAAGGAGATTCCTTACCTGGGGTCGGGAGGGCGACAGCGCCGATGGAGCAGCGGAGGAGGGCGAGGACCACTCGGGGGAATGTCACCGAGTACATGTCAGCGGTGACCGGTGAAGTAATGCAGTAATGCCGGCCGGGGCTCCCTGCGTCTGTGTCTGTGTCCGTGTCCGTGTCGGCGGAGCGTGCAGAAATCGGCGGTCGGTGACGGTGCCGACAGCCTGGAATCTGCCTCCCGCCCACCCCCGCACCCCCGCCGATGCCGCGTCATCAATGTCACGAATCGGTGCGAAATCCCCGCTACGACTTCCGATTCTGCCGGATCGGCCGGGAGCTGGGAATTCGAGGTGCTGCAGCGGAAGGGTGAGAGCGGATTACTGCTGTGCAAGGAAGAACGCCGTATGAGCTTTCAGGCGTTGCTAAATTTCCCCTGGCAAATCACTAATTTTCAGGGAAAGTTTTGAATATTTGTCTACCGATTTCTCAGATAATTTGGTTTGTCATTTGATCTCTAACGTCTGAAAATTTCAAAGAAAAATATTCATAAAATCCCTCAGAAATGAACATTTTATCGAAGGAAATTTGGCAACTCTCGAATGTTCATTCGGCGTTCTTCCTTAGCACGGCAGATTAGAATAAGACTGCCGTGCTAATTAAGAACGCCGTATAAGCATTCGTATGTTGCCAAGTTTCTTCTTTGAGAATATTTATTTTTGAAAAAATTATGAATGCTTTTTTTTGAACTTTTCAGACTCTTTAGATCAGATTACGAACATAATCCTAGGGAAAATCGGAGGAAAAATATTCAGAAACTTCCCCGAAAATTCGTGATTTGTCGAGGGAAATTTGGTAACGCTCGATGGCTCATGCGGCGCTCTTACTTGGCACGGCAGAAGACTGGTGCATACTGCCGTGAAAGCGAATAGAGCCGTAAGTGCATTTATGTAGGAGCCATGGTTATGCATGCTCTTATGTGTATATCAAGGCTCATCCGAGACAGCACTCACCTCTCTCTTCCGTATAACATGGCTGCATGGGTGGGTATGGCGGGTCACTAATTAGTTTCGTGGTTCCTTTATCAAGAGTAACCGTTAATTGGACGGAGTTTAACAGAAAGGAACCAAGCCACATCGGGATCGAACTGAGAAAAAGAGGCTTAAAGTTTAGCTCCTGTATAAAACTCCATGAAAAAGATGAACTTCAAATTCAATTTCTGCAAAATTTGCTCCAACAAAAACTTTGAACTTTTGGCGATAGATGGTAGAGCAGTGGTTGAGTTCGAAACGACTCATAACTCAATTTTTTCCAAAATGAGAGTTGGTTCCTTTCTACTTAACTCAGTCCAATTAGAGGTCAGATTTTTAAGTCGACTCCTGCTTCAGTTGCCGTGCGAAGGAAGAACGCCGTATAAACATTTGAGAGTGGCCAAAGTTTCTCCTATTAATGTCCATTTTTCAAGGAGGGTTATGAATACTTTTTTCCCCGAAATTTTCAGATAATTTAAATCAGCTGGTGAATAAAATTCTCTGGTAAATTGAAGGATGAATCTTCTCAGATTTCCCTTCAGAAACGTCGGTAAATTTAGATTAAACCAATGTAAGAACCAGTGGCGTAACGGGCGCCCCCGCAGACCCTGCTATGCAGGGGGGCCCAGGCGCCAAGGGGGCCCTCGGCCGCCGGAATTTTTTTTTTCTCTCTCTATCTTTGATCCTTAGCTTGGGTTTCAAACTTTGGGCATTTACTTACCGAGATGGGGCTTCTTCCTCCGATTTTTATTGTTAGCTCGGGGTTTTTCATACTTCTTTCGGACTGTTCCGAACTTTTTATTTGCTGGAGGGCCCCTGCCTTCCAATGTCCACTCAGTGATTACTAAATCGTTTTTCTTTTTTTGTCACTTTTCGTATTTCGGGCTTTGGGAGATCCAATAATCCTTGGGCCTGGGCTGGGCCCCCGCCACCCTTTAGATCCTTGATCCTTTAGGGGTCCCATATAATCGGGTACGGGATCTGGGACGGTGAGGGGTGAGGCAGTCCAAGTCCGTGATTTGAGATGCCTCGGACCAAAAAATGGGAAGGGGTGGGAGGGGGGGATAATTTTGGAATTTTATCGACATGGGGGGGGGGGCTGGAAAAAATTTTGCGGGGGGGCCCAGCGGAAGTCCGTTACGCCACTGGTAAGAAGAACCTCGTTTAAGTATCCATCGTATACCTATTATTTCTCTGTCGCATTTTCCTCAACTTTCGGGATACACGCGGAACACGCACAATATAGCTAGATACAAGATAAACGCATTAAAATTGCGATCTATGTCTTAAAAAAATATCCCGCAAATAATTGAAAACACTCTGTTAGACGTCAGCGCGCATCAGATAAGTTTCACGTTTAAGTTACGACCAGGCAGATCGATAGAACTGACTAGACAGGGAACGGACTTTGATCTGATTTCTCCCAATTCAAACAGTGATGTCACCGTTTCGTATCAATAGTGATTCATGAATCATTTCAAAGCTGGTTGTGTTGTTTCAGTGTTTCTACTGATTCCGAGTCATTCGGATTGTTCAAATACGAGAAAGGTCATGACGAAGCTATAAGAAAAATCGAATAATAAGCGGCAATCATTTCTCATTGCATTCTTCTTTTATCAACTTTCCATTCCGATATCTATGCGAATCTATCAATCTACGTGAGTTGGTAGTTTTTCATTCCAAATTCATCCCTTAACGCTAATTTAAGGGAAGGAGTCAACCAAAGCGTCACGTGATTCTTTTTTAACACTGAAAAAAAAAACTCCGGCCGTGGGAGCCGCAATTAAGGGCTATATAGACGTATACCGTCCGTTCCGGGCTCAATGGCCAAAATTTCCGGCTGCTGGAGCCGTAGCTTCGGCCTCTGAACCCGGAACAATCGACAGCGGCTCCCACGGCCGGAGTTTTTTTTACCAGTGAAGGAATGCAGACTTGCTTTACGAGTGTATCACAAGGGGAACGATGGAGTCAAAAATCCAATTTTGCACCCTTTTTTTTACTTATGGACGCCGGACGGCCCTCAAATTACACCAGAATATTTTCTTATTATCATTCAAAGTATCTTTATTTTTCACAGTCTTTGGTTTCAAGATAATGGATAGTATCGTTGTCACTTTTTACAACGCTGCGCATTTGTTGTCATTCATCATTTGATAACATTTATCCGTGATAATAATAGAAAACTTTCTTTTGCTGAACAAATATCATGTTCTCCGCCACGTCGTAACATTCTGCAAATCATTGAACCTAGCCAGAGCAACTTTTGCGATTCCTTATTTATCGCGTCGCGTTGGTTGAATCGAATCCACTCTGTTCAAATAATCGACTGTTTGCCCGGATTTTTATGCCTATGCCAGTTTTGTAAATAGTGAATGCACTCGTTGCAACCAAGCAGTGTATACATTTCTTTACGTCAACATGTTATTTATCCAAAGAAGTACACATGAAGTTATGACAGGTTGGCGAAATCAACGCTTGTTTTATCCAAATTGTGTATATTTTTGCATTACTTACAGTAAATACCTTATCAATGATAGTCGTTCAAAATTTAATTTTGCATACCTAGGAATTATTTGGCACCAAAATGTTTCTGTTCTGCGAGCGAAGTTTTCGGTAATTGGAACCTAACTTCCCTTAACTTTCGCTCTCAGGTTTCTGTAATGAAACATTTCGGTTAGGTACCTGAACCGCAGCAGGAATTTCTAGGTGAGATCGGGTCCGTAATGATAGAGTGCGTCAGATAATGGAAGTCGAAAATGACNTCAAAATGTAATCTTTCCGATGATGGGAAAGATGCTATCTCAACATCTGAATGCTTTTAGAGCTGAACCATCGATATCTATATCGAGAAAAGTGGAAAATTGGGGAGGGGGAGGGGGGCAGAAGTTGAAGTCCACGACCCCCCTCCCCAATTTTCAAATCGGTGCGTACGAGTCAACGCAGACAGCCCCCCCCTCCCACCCCTTGTAACCCAACCGTCAGATACCCCCACCCCCTCCCTCCATTTTTACATAGTATTTTATTTAGGAATGTAACCTGTTCCTTCCAGTGGCGTGTCCAGGTTTGCGATATATCGATTGTCATGCCGTTTGAACCTATGTAAAAGGATCGAAAATCAGGGTGTTCGCAGCGAACACCTTAATAATCGATTCTTTACCCTAGGTTTAAATTGCAGAACAATCGATATATCGCAAAGCACGCCACGCCACTGGTTCCTTCCCCATGGAAGACGTTTCTCTTTTCTGCCGTGCTAAGGAAGAACGCCGTATGAACCTTTAGACGTTGCCACATTTCCTTCAATAAAAACCTAATTTACTGTGAAAATTGGGAATGTTTTCCTTCAATTTTTTCAGACAATTTTGTTCGCAATTTTGTTTAAAATTTCTGAAAATGTCAAGGAAAAATACATATAATCTTTCTTAAAAATACATGTTTTATCCGGGGCAATTTGGCAACTCGTGAATGTTTATACGGCGTTCTTCCTTAGCACGGCAGTTTTGGGGGTGGTGTCAAGGTCTGGATCAAAGCGATGGTGGTGCTTGTCAATGTGAAGGAGATTCCTTACCTGGGGTCGGGAGGGCGACAGCACCGATGGAGCAGCGGAGGAGGGCGAGGACCACTCGGGGGAATGTCACCGAGTACATGTCAGCGGTGACCGGTGAAGTAATGCGGTAATGCCGGCCGGGGCTCCCTGCGTCCGTGTCAGTGTCTGTGTCCGTGTCGGCGGAGCGTGCAGAAATCGGCGGTCGGTGACGGTGCCGACAGCCTGGAATCTGCCTCCCGCCCACCCCCGCACCCCCGCCGATGCCGCGTCATCAATGTCACGAATCGGTGCGAAATCCCCGCTACGAGTTCCGATTTTGCCGGATCGGCCGGGAGCTGGGAATTCGAGGTGCTCAAGCGGAAGGGTGCTAAGGAAAAACGCCGTATGAACTTTCAGGCGTTGCCAAATTTCCTTTGAACAAACACGAATTTCCTGGTAAACTCATGAGTATTTTCCCTCCAATTTTTCAGATAATTTTGCTCGCCATTCCACCGAAAAGTCTTGAAAATTTCTTGGGAAAATGTTCAGAAATTTCCTCAGAAATTAGCATTTTATCGAAGGAAATATGGCAATTTTGAATGTTCATACGGTATTTTTCCTTTAGCACGGCAGATTTAGATTAAGA